GCCTCATTCACAGCATGCAGGACCGCATCAATGCTGTTATTAAGGCAGATGGTTACCAAACAAAATACTAGGCTTTTACGAGTAAAATGAGCCATAAACCATTTGATTTAGTCTATTATTGGTGATGCTGCAACTACTCAAAGTTGTAATGGAAATGTTGGTGAGGTGGCTCGTGCCGATGCGCGCCCAGATTAAAGGAAGGTGACTGTAGATGCCCTACCCCGGAGTCGACCCACGCTCCGTCATCTGCCGAGCATGTGGGGTGAATTCTCTTTACTATTCCTGGACAGCAAGGCGACGCATGCATTGCCAAGATGTCGCTGTCGATGCAACAACCGGGAGTCCTCTTGGAGATCCACTTATTCACAGCAACCAGGTCGACATAAGTGGAGTGAATGACAGTTAGTTGTCTAGAGCACCGACTTCGTCCCCAGTACTTCATCGCCTGCGCTAAACACTGCAGTTCAAGACGATAGCTACTCTGGAGAATGCGAGCTGAAGTTCGCAAAAGGCATCATGAGGCTTCAAGTCAAGACCTCGTCTCGAGGGGCACGTACATACCGAGGGCGTCCCGCAGTCACATCCACGCGGCAGCCATACCGAATGCGGGCTGCCAAGCTCATTCATGGAGAACGTATCCGCGGCCGGTGCTGACTACGCCCAGTGCTCGCTTGAGGTCTTGCCTCTGCTGAGCTTCTTAGCTGCCACACTGACTGCCAAGTACATGGATCAGGATGCCTGAGAATTGGGCGCGGGGTTTTTCTCGTACAGATCTCTGAGGTTACAGATTTCAAAGCGTGTTGTCGGTGGATATTGATTACCATGACGAATTAGGAGACGGTGAATACAGCCACCATGCATTCAGTTTTGCGCGCGACACGCGACGGTGATCTTGGTCATGCGAGCCATGCTGACTTTGTGCGCTGCTATGGATCGGACATCCGACTCCAGCAATGAGTGCATCACTTTCACAACTTCGGTGTTATTTAGGAGGGGAAAGATTAGCAGTCTATTCAAGTTGATGGTTGACAGGAACAGCAGGCACACTCAATGCTCACTCAAATCAACTAAAGATGACTTTGTGGCAGGTCATGTTGAGAAGGACTCGTTATCAACAGTAGCAAGCCCTGTCGTCCCCACAGAAATGCCCTTTCGGGCACGCCGTTCACAACCGGTCTTCCCCGCACTTGCTAGCCACCGACGTCGCGGGGGTAGCGTCATTGCCGATCTTGTCAAGCTCCACTACAAGTTCCACACCAACGGTTCCGCCCGCCAAAGACACTGCATGCTTCGACCTCTCCCTACCAATCACAATCCTTCCCTTCTACCAAGACGCAGTCAAGACATCACCCTGTCAGCAGCCAAGCTGCTAGACCCCAGGTTTCCTGCGATAGTCCATGGCGTTATCTAAACAGAGAAGGTGTGTGGCATGGTATGGCACGATGTGTTACCCTCGTACACTTCACCCCGCGTTGTATGACTCGGTGATTGTGGAGGGTGGTATTTCTGAGGCCGACATGGTATGGTGATGCACATCGGTGTATGTGTTTAAGAGACGGTATAAGAAGACCACTTCCTACGTCTCTTGCGCGCATAAGCTTCGCTTCTGACGCAAACGCTTTTGAATAAACCCTTAGAACTTACCCTGAATACCCTTTCAAAAAGTACTCCCTGGAATGGGCTGTTTTACCACTCATGCATCTGGCACGTTAGATCCTCCGGAGGTGAGGAACTGGCGCCTCCATGTCATCGCCTGTATTGCCTCTATGTCGGCCCTAGCCAGTAAGTCACAGTCCTGATACTCACAGAGTTAAAATCATGCGCTGACAGCAGGAACAGTGGGTTACGACACCGCCGTTATTGGCGGAACTATGGCACTTGACTCGTTCAGACGCGACTTTGGGACTATCAACATCCCTCAGACTCAGCGTGACACGATTCAGGGCAATATCGTCTCGACTTTCCAGGTACGTTCAGACTTGATCGCTGTACACACACAGTTACTAATCACTGCTGTCAGGCCGGCTGCTTCTTCGGCGCCCTGTTCGCCTTCCCACTTGCGGAAAAGCTCGGTCGAAAGAAAACAATGATTATCGCCTCATCCGTCTTCCTCCTTGGAGGCACGTTGATGACGGCAGCTCGCGGTAGCCTCAACATGATCTACGGTGGACGAGCCATTGCAGGCTTAGGCATCGGCGCATCGTCCATGACAGTTCCTGTCTATATTGCCGAAATCGCTCCACCGTCTGTTCGAGGTCGACTCATTGGTATCTTCGAGATCGCTTCCCAAGGTGGAGGCATGTTGGGCTTTTGGATCAACTATGCCTGCGATCGAACGATTGATGTCAATAACCAAGCTCAGTGGACTATTCCACTCGCTGTTCAGCTCATTCCTGGTCTGTTGCTTCTTCTCGGTGTCGCTTGGTGCCCTGAGTCTCCACGTAAGTCAGATTCTATTCACGTTACTACATTACTGTTGCTAACCAGTCCTAGGTTGGTTGGCCCGTGGTGACAACTTCGATGGAGCTGAAAGGATCCTGACAAAGCTTCGTAATCTTGACTCGTCACATGCCTACATCCAGCACGAGATGAGTGAGATCCGCGCACAGGTAGAGGAGCGCAGTACCAACCGTATGAGTAAGAAGGCGCAGTTCAAGAAGCTCTTTCAGAAGGGTGTACGAAACCGCATGGCCATCGGTCTTTCTCTCATGTTCTTGCAGAGCTTCACGGGAGTAAGTCAACATCACCGACATCGACACTTCATCGTTGCTAACCAAGACTAGGTCAACATCATCACATACTACGCCCCCCGAATCTTCGAGACCCTCGGTATCTCCGGTACCTCTCTCAAGCTCTTCTCCACCGGCTTCTACGGTATCGCAAAGACCCTCGGCATGTGCACCTTCACCTTCGTCGTCGTCGAACGCGTCGGTCGCCGCAAGGGTCTGATCTGGGGCGCCGCTCTCGGCTGCATCCCCATGTGGTACATCGGAGGATACGTCATGAAAGCTGACCCTGCCGCCGCCGCAGCAGCAGGCACTGTCAACCGCGACGGCTGGGGCTACCTAGCCATGGTGTGCGTGTACATCAACGCATTCATCATCTGCGCGACATGGCAGGGCATCACATGGACTTACGCATCTGAGATCTTCCCGCTTGATATCCGTATGCTCTGTGTCTCGCTCACTACTGCAGATACGTGGCTCGGATCTTTCATTATTGCGCGCAGCACACCGTACATGATCAGCGATCTCGGGTACGGTGCGTATTTCTTCTTCGCCTCGATCCTGGTAGCCATGGGCATATGGAGTTTCTTTTTCGTACCCGAGACTAAGGGTATCACGCTCGAAGATATGGACGCGCTGTTCCTCAAGCCCATGCACAAGGCTGTGTGGGCCCAGGTTCGTGGCAAGCCGCTCTTTGTCGACGAAGATGAGGCTGCGAGAGGTAAGGGGCTGGACCCTGTCAAGGAGAAGAATATGGGTATCGAGCATGTCGAGACCATTTCACCAAATAAAAGAGGTGAGATGTAGACCATGTTTGGTCCGGTTCGGGTGACCGTGGCGAAGCGTGGATGTCTGCGAAGAGAGATTGCAGCTATGCTCGTCGATAAGAATGCAACACTTAATCCGTCTCAATTCAATTCACTCGTTATGTGATGTCAATCGAAAGCCGTACATAGAGCATACACTTCACGATCAAGCGGATTAATTCTGATGTCTCACGCCTGTCGACGCTCGAGGCGCTAGCGGGAACAGCAACGATCCTCTTCCCTTCGGGTTGGTTCTCCATACCTTGACCACAATCAACTCGACTTTGCCAAACCGCAACAAGGACACATCAGCACCAACAAAAGACGTATTTGAGTTGATCTCGGTCCTTCTTCGTTTACTACAATAGCACCAATAACGTCGTAGGACTCGCTCTGCCCGACGTGCTTGCGCTCTCTGAATCGTTGCGTCTCAACATAAGCATTACGGTGCCGACTCAAGAGATGAAAACAAGCGCAGAACTCGTCCATTTTCAGATAGGTACAACGATTAAAATCCACGATACCAAAGCTGTACAAGTCAGCGTGGTGGTGTTATCCACCAAGCGAATTGCGCAATATCTGGCGTTCAATTGGCCAATCGCCGTCACCTGCCGAGCTGACCCCAACCCAATTCACTACCGGCGCGAACCACTCTTAGACAGCGGACGACGGGAGCGCGCAGGAAACACGTGCTACCGACTCCTATCTCACAAATCATGGACTTGCTTATATTCAGGCGGCGCCGCATTTCAAGTGTCGCTGCTTGACCTCCATTGACGCCTTGAGGGGCATGCTGAGCAGCACCAGGAACATCTACAATCAGATATTTGCGGCTCCTGGGAATTTACTGTTGAAAAAAGCACAAGGAGAGAAGCGGGACAAGGTAGAAGAGGAGTGTGGAAAGATCGACGATATGTTGCTCATTGAACCGCGAAAGCGCAGCCACGCGACCTTCAACCACGATCATGCAACGAGCCATCCCGCAAGCTGGCAGTCAGATGCAAAGGAGATGTCAGCCAGTGTCCAAACCTCTTCCACAGATGCAGTACACTTGAGCCTGTCGACTTCGACTGCGCGCGCGGACCACACCAGCTTCTCCAAATCCTCAGTCGCGACCCTGAACCTAGAGCAGCTACAACAGCTCAGTGCGCTCGTCGAGGACAGGATCCAGATCAAGAAACGTTACAACAACACTCCGCTTCGCCGCATCATCGCTCGTCAGGTGTCAGGCAATGCTTTCCAGGAGACATCGAGGCCGGCGTCAGACACTTTCAGTCAGACCGACACACTCGTCAATACCGAGGCCCAGGAGATTGTCAGAGAGCCGCTGGAGGTCAGGAGGGCAAGGTTCAACAGCACACCTCTACGTCGCATTTTGTCTCGACAGGTCTCCACTGAGACGAAGCGCGATGTTTCGAGCAGCGCCTCTCTGTCCAAGAGCTACGAGCCTGAGCCGCTGGAGGTGCGCAAAGCGAGATACAACAACACTCCTCTCCGCCGCATCGTCTCACGACAAGCATCTTCCGAGCAAGCCCAGTCTACAGAAACATCTGACGACCGTTCGAATTCTCCAGTATCCTCGCGCTCGTATGTTCCAACGCCAGTGCCGCGCAGTAACACGCCCCTGCGCCGCATCCTCTCGCGGCAAGCATCTGTCCAGACAGCTCCTCAGAAAGATGACGACTCGGTATTTGAGCGTGCAGATTCCGTCATCGACGCCGAGTCGCCTGTGCGGTCGCGACGTACTGCCTCACCTGCCCCACATTCGCCTACGATCTCGTTGAACTGCGATTCCAGGATCAGAGCATACGAAGAAGCACTCTGGAAGAAGCCAACGGGTCAGAATGCAAGTGTGCATCTCAATTCCGAATCGAGGATTCGCGCGTATGAAGAAGCGTTGTGGGCGAAAACAGCACCACCTCGTCGTTCAGGAGCAGAAGAGAAGGACACTCAAGCAACCACCATCACTGTTACCGAGGTAGCAGCGGAAGCGAAGAAGCCGACGCGCGTAGTCGTGGATTCGAAGGGAAGTCCGTTGAGAAGGATTCTGCAGAGGCAGACCAGTAGAGACTGGAGGGCGCCGGCGACGGTGCGTGTTGTGTAAGCTGTCTGTTTGTATCTTTCAACGTCGTGTTTGTGTATCCTTGTCCATTCGTAGTCCTGAATTCGAGTGAGGCGAAACGTGTCCGTAGAATCACATCTGTTATACCTCAATGTTGCGGATTTGCGATCGCTTAGTACTCCTTGGAGCCTCGTTTGGGGGTTTTGGAAACTACATCTGCCAGCAGATTTGTGTGGGTGGTGATAGGTCTTTGCGTTACAACGTTTACTCGGGATAAAGTGCTAGATTATCAGTAAAGTGTGATTTAGCATAGACCTCGTGGACCGGTGCTCGTAGTGTAGGGCTGCTATCGAAAGCGTGGTATCCACGAAGTCAACACCAAAGTCGGAGATGTTCTAACTATCAATTCGTCGACCAACGTGAACTTGCTACGTTGTATTCGTTACACAGCCTACTCTCACCGCCTTGCATCTGGAAGCTTTTAAAGGCTTTCCGTCTACTGCGTCCCGAACTGCCCGCCCTTAGGCGGCTGTGGAACTCCCTGTGTCCCAATGTCCTCCTCTCCACTCGTCTTCCCTCCCGAGATCTTAGTTTCAGTCACAGGCCCCGTGCGTTCTCCAACACCGCCAGCCTGCGGCGGCGTCTTCGTCCCCGGTCCACCCCTCTTCTTCCAATCATCCCAGCTGCCCTGATACTCGCCAACGTTCGTATAGCCTGCCTGTCTCGCAATACTAGCTGCAGCTTTACTTCTTACGCCCGCTTTGCAGAAGAAGACCATTTCCTTGCCAGTAGGAGGCTTCGCGAAGCCGAATTGGTCTTGGAATTCTGCGGGGGAAAGGAGGAGTGCGTCTGGGTGCGAAGTGATGGGGAGGTTGATCGCGGTCGGGATGCTGTTTGTGCCGAATTCGTGGGGTTCGCGAACGTCGATTAGGAGGCGGGAGTCCGACGGGTTTTCGAGGATGGAGAGGACCTGACTGTGTTAGACGCAGTTTGGCCTGTGGCTTGGAGCTAGGCTGAGATGTGGGAGCAGAGAGGAAGGAACGTACGTCTTCGAAATCGTAGATTCTACCGCGGCCATCTGGGCGCTCGGAGATGTACCTCCTCTGCGATACCTGACCAGCGATGCTGATCGCTGGCCTCAGTTGCAGGTTGCTAATGTTTCTGGAGGCAGTGGTGAAGTTACGCAGACCCATGCTTGCTTCTTTCGTTGGTAGCACGACAGCGCGTGCGGCTGTTCGCTGCGCAGTACGGGTGCCGAGGCGCAGAGCCATGGATGCGGTCTTGGACGCCATTGTCGTATCCCTGGAGCCGATATGGATTTCGAGTATGCTGTTGATTACGACCTTCCAACAATTGAGCCTGACGAAGAAAGTTGTGATGATGCTCGAAGCTCAATGCCAATGACGAAGTGGTGGAGCACGAGCTCGGAGCTAGACGAATTATCGCCGACGTCACTCATACGCGACTGCACGTGCATGGCAACTTCACTGCCACCAACCATCGAGATGTTCATTCGAATGAAAAATCCTAAATCCAAACGCACTCACGTTGTAACCAAGAGTACTGGCTGCTTGGTATTGACTTGCAGTGCAGCACGAGGGACTTGAACGCTTTGTTGAGAGAAATCACTCGCATTTGGGTGGACGCGGAGGAAGAGACCACCCTCTCGTGTTGCAAAGGCTCGGACGCGGTAGCCATCAGATCGTTACCATGGTGAAGCCTGGAGGTCTTCGATCGTGCCCAGAACGCAGTCCGCTAGAGCAAATTCACCTGTAGTCCTTTGTATACTTATCAGCCAGGAATAATTGGACAGAACTATCCTAACTGTGTCCTACAATTGAGAGTTTTATACCTGTATCAATGGCTACAATCATCACCGTGGCAGTATTGGACGAATTAGGTCCTGCGATGACACTCTCACCCAAAGGGAGGCACAAAGTACTGATGTCTGGGTGCGATGATTGCGAAACACGGTAAGCCCAGGATCGTCGAACGTACACAAAACGCGATCCATGCGACCGGCCATGATGAATCTAATCATTCATCCGCTTCGCATCAACGCCCCTTCATGGTGACACAATAGTATCGTCCGAGCGAGCAGGATGTATCCTCATGTCCTCAAACACTTCAGCCGAAAAAGGCGTCTATCAGCATTGGCAACTATTCCTTAGGCAGGCAGCGGTGAGCCTCCACCAGAGAGTCCACGGTTCAAGGAGATTCTTCAGGCGCGAGTGAGGTACGTGGTTCCGCTGTGCGGTGGATGATACAGGCACGGTGATCGCGGCGAAGACAATGTAGCAAGTGAGGAAGATCAGGCGGAGATCGCATTGGATTCTATGATGCAAGGAGTACTGGTCTCTGAGCTTGTCATTCCTGAGTAGCAGGACGCTTCAAGAGAAGCAGTTGAGGATGGCCAGTGGAGCTTATCACGGATCGAAAAGCTAACGGAATTGCTGGAAGAAGCGTTGGGAGACCCAGCAGGTGGGAACATCTCAATTTGATGAGGTTCTACGCTCTTTCGATCTCGGTTCCGGTGATCTCAAGGGGAAAGGCATGCTGTCGGATCGGCCAGAGGAGATGGCATTTGACGTATACTCATTGCTCCTTCTAGATCAGGTACACCAGCTGGCAATCGTTTCACCACAAGCTGTTCCAGGGTCACATCCTGTCATCACCCATTTAAGACTTGCAAAACGCACGCATAAAGTTCTAAGCAGCAAATTGGTATATATTCTTTTTGCGCCGAGGGGGAATCATCTCAAGTACCACAAGCGCCAAAATACAAGAAAAAACAGCACAAAGCCAAACAACAAATTCCAACAAAGCTAACAACGATAACAATGATATCATGCGCAGCACTTCAACACCAGCCAAAAGCAATATTCGCTTTTACACTTGATTCGCCAGTATAGAGAGGGGTATAATTCTTGTCGTTCGCGCAGACGCGTGTGCACCGGACAAACGCGTAGCTGGACGGGGGTATTCTTCGTAAAGGTATGGCCGGCGCAGAATATCAAGTAGAGTGGTCGAAAATGGTGTATCATTTAACGAGGAGGCCCAATAGGGGCCGGGTATCCAGATGCAGAATGAGAAGTACTGGGGCGACCGCTGTCCACGGAGCCCCGCGGATCGTACCTGGGAGTGACGTCTCCAGGTGCCGCTGAAGAAGAACCAAAAGGAAACTTGGATTCATAACGGGGGGTTGGCATGGGTTGAGGCCAGCCATTGGTGTGGTGCTCGTCGTCTGCAAGGTTGATGCCGCTGTCGTTCCACGGGTTGCGGTAGCTACCGGTAGATTCGAGGCTGGCAAGGGACGCCTTCGAAGCGTTGCTGGAAGCATGCTTGAACAATGATCCAGGGGAGTTGGTGTTCTTGCGTCCATTGAAGATGGAGGTGAACGACGACATACTGCCCGGCTTGCGGAGGCGGTCAAGCATGCCAGAAGGACGAGTGGTATCCTCATCACCGAAGTGGGAGCGAGTGGGAGAGTCGGTGCTCTCGACAGGTGGCTCAGCTCGCTGGAGCAACTTGGACTCGAAGAAGGGCAGAGAGTCTTCAAAGGAGTCGGACTTAGGACGCGGGAGGTTGCCACTGATGGTGTTGGCGTCCAATCCGTGCATGACCAGGTGGTTGATCAAGAAGTCAAGGGCATCCTTCAACCCTCCAGCGTTGTTGCGAGTGAAGTTGAGGTGAAGCGTCTCGATCGTCTGCTCCTTGCCCTCGACGGTCTCGGTGGTAGGATCCTTGATGCGAGCGTCAACAACATGCTGAGTCTCAAGCTTGTCCAGAACCTCGGTCTTGAACTCAGCAGACCGCATGTGCTCGGAAAGCTCGGTGGTCGCAGGGAACGAGAGTTCGTGAGCTTCTGGAACCATACCCTATAAAGACTTAGCCTTTGCTCATAATAGTTACCATCCGTGAGCGAACTTACCAGGAACTCATCAACCGCCAATGGCACCTGATACTCAGGGCCAGAGACAGTGACAGTGTCACTCGCTTCCTCAGTGCTAGGGAAGGTGATCTTGCAGTTGAACTTCTTCTCGAGCTCATCAATCTTGTCTAGACGGGCAATGAGCTCACGGTGGTACAGGCGGTTAATGTTGATCGTCTCAGAGACAAACTCGGCATCGGCCTTCTCAACCATGTCCATGATCTCCTGCTTGACAAGGTCAAGGTTCTGAGCATTACGGGCAGGGGTACGGCAGATGACGTTATCAACCTTGATGTCATCTTCCTCCTTGCCGAAGCCTCCACGGTCCATAGCATTGGAGAACTTGACGAAGACAGAGTACTTCTTCATGATCCGCTGGATGTGTTGACCACCAATACCAATGATGCGCTTATGGTACTGGTCTGGCACGTGGAAAGAGATAGCAGCAGGCATCTCCTGTTCGACAAGGTCGAGACCGTTCTTGGTCGCCTCGTACTGTGCGCCACGTACTACGATGTAAAAGTTGTACTCGTTGAAGCCGTCGAACACAATCTGCACGCTGCTGTGGCTCATAATCTTGTTGATCTTGCCGTTCTTCTTACCGCTGACGAACTCCTTGTGCTCGTTGGCAAGCTCAATCTTCACACTCATGTTGTACTGAGACTTCTTCACGAATGGGATGTTGCTAATCACCATCAGAGCAGCTCTAACAGCGTCGTCAGACCCATAAATGTGGAAGTTGAGCTTCTCGAAGCTGACTTCAGCACCTGAGTTGATGCAAATGTCGGAGAGCATGGCGCGAACATCAGCTGCGGTGGGCGGGCGCTGTGTAGGATCAGGATGAGTGATGAACCACGAGGCACTATAGAACTGTCCAGCCTGCTGATTGTGAGTAAAGCGGATGTGATCATCACGTGCTTGCGACTTACGAGAGCCATCAGTTCGCGTACTGTACGCTCAACATGCAGGACATCCGTGCCCTGGACGCGAACAACACCTCGCTGGACGCCGAGCGGTGGAAGCAGAATATATGAACCGTTGTTCTCAATGATCTTGCGCACTTTGTCGAGGCGCTCGAGCAGAATGGCATCAAGCTTGGTGTCAGTCACCATCACCGGCTTCACGAACACCTTGGTGGACATGACAAGGTCATGCAGTCGTTGCTTGGCACGCAAGATACACTCTGAGTTCTCGCCCGTGATGTAAACCAAATCGTCTGGTCTTCGCTGTGCGCCCGGGGGCGTGTATCCAAACAGTCGAGGGAACGGCGGTGGGAAGTAGATGGCGGTGCCTGTGGCAGATTCGATCATCTTGATGTTCTTGCGTCCGCGGCCGCAGATTAACGTATGCATAGTCAGCTCGAGCTTCATCGTGTCAACGTATCGTTTCAGCTGTGATGATGATGATGGTTAGCGTTCTGCGCTCATGACAGCTGACAGTGGGGATCGAAGAACTCACGATCTGGTCAATCATGATCAGCACACGCGTCTTTGCGTGCTCCATTGTCTCCAGATCGCCATAGATAGCGCAGCGCAGACGTGGATCCATGGTCGAGTCGAGGTTGCCATTGAAGCTAGCAGACTCGATGTCAGGCGTCTTGGGCATCAGCAGGAAGATGTCGGCCTTTGTCGTCTTCGAGATGAGGTCTAGCTGGTTCAGCACGGCGCCCTTGATGTTCTGCGTGGGGCGGTCGATGATGAGATCCGAGTCGATGTCGACGAACGACGACCGCTGTGCCAAGACTGTCAGCCACTGCATGATGATGACGCTTCTGCGCTGACGCCTACCAGAGAGATGGGTGTTGAGTTGAGGATCTTGCACCGCATCGAGTTCACAATCTCCAGCTCGCCGGATAAGCACACATTGGTGACGAGTGCCCTCAGTGGCCCCCGCTGCAGGCCCGGGAGCGGCTTCGACTCGGCTGACACGACCGTCGCCTGCACGCGTCCCTCGGTCTGCTCGCTCACGTCTCGACACAGCGCCCGCAGGTTGTCGACGTTCTGGGCGTGGACGGGCAGCTTGTGGGTGAGCGTGGCCTCTGCCGTTCCTTCCGGCATGGTCCAGCGTGCCTTTGCTCCCGGGCTCGCCCACATGATGTCGTCTGGGTCTGGCCCCGCGAGGTTGCTGCTGAAGGGCACGTTAAAGCTCAGGTTGACCTGCGTGCCGGGCGGGATGACGGGCGGCGCTGAGGTTGCGGTGCTCGGGCGCTTGATCGGAGCTGTGACGGGCATCTCGTGGTTGGACCTCGAGAACGGGAAGCCGGCCGACGGCGTCATCTTCTCCCAGCCGTGCCGGGCCTGACCCGTGAAGTTGGATATCTTGTGCATGCTAATGGGGGGAACGGGCGCCCTTGGGGGTTGCGGGCGGGCGGTGGTGATGAAGAGGGAGAGAAAGCAGTCGAAGCGAATGTAGCGAGCCATTGGGCAAGGCTGAGGCGTGACGGCCAATCGACGGCTGGCGCACGCTCCACCGCCTGGAATCACCACACCGCGCCCAAAAAGCAGCTGTGCAGCCACTCAGCCCGCCGTTGACGCTGGCCACTCAGCCGCTTGGCCTGAAGCAACTGCGAGCCTGTCTTGCAGAGCCTCTCACACCGTCGCCTGCTGCTGCAGCGCCGCAGTGCCGCAGTGCCGTTCTGCCGTGCAGCTGTCCGTTTCGCAGCTGCCCTCCAGAGAGGCTCAGCGCTTGTTGGGGTGGGTGGTCCGTGGACACCTGCATGTCCATCACCAGACGGGGGGTAGATAGCGGGCGATAAAGTCACCCACGTCCAATGTCGTGCCATGTACAACACTGTCATTCACTCTTCTGCTACACTGTTCAAAGGGTAAACACCCCACCTTCCCGTTTCACCTCACTCGCCCACAAGGTTTCCCATACAACCAGCACTGTTAGACCTCCTCCCCAAGGTTCTGTGGAGCTTTAGATCACGCACACTCTCCCCGTGACCTCGAGACTGTGCAGCAACGACCTCATCCAGATCTAGGTAGTGGCGCCCGCTGTGTGCTTTGATGTTCTTTGATGTGCTTTGATGCAGGGCGCGAACGCCTGTGGTGACACGTCCCGTCTGTGGTGGGATGAGGGCGTGAGACAGACAAGACTCAGACAGGCAACTCGTAGCTTTCTTCGCAGGTACAACCGAGTGAGCGTGACATGCTTAGATATCGATGTACATGGATGCTGTCTTCCTGCTGATGGCCCTGCTGTGGTATTGGCCATGACGGCATCTCGACAGCTTCAGCTCACTTTCTGTCTGTCGACGGCACCAAGTATATTTGACCGGCCAGCAGTTCACTCGTGTCTATCTGGCCACTCGTATGTGCTGACGTATGCCTCCTATTATGTGCATGTCTTACAGGCACGTCCAAATCAAGATTCAAGATTGAGGCTGTGCAGAAGCTTGCGCTCGGAGGAAAGTGGAAGAACGGCTGCACCGTATCTGCCAGGGCAGCACACCACAATACACGCACGTGAAAATGATTGTGCGAAGTACCCTCCACAAGGTGCACTGCTATTGTCTTCAATTCTCTAACGTTCAAGGCCTCCACGCTCATGGCTCGACGTCCAAACTGATCGCTGACCTATCGATATCGTAATCGATAGACGATCAAGCCCACAAATATCCGGCATCTCCGCAATGATGTTCAAAATAGCCAAGCCGGCTGTTGAGGCTACACGTTAGCTGCAGTCTAGTTGCCGGACTGCGAGCACGTCATCTGATCTTTGCGCAACGAATGTCTTCAGGAAAGCCATGAATTTTCGCAACATCTAGGCCAAAGCAGAGATTGAAGTCACAATAGAGACGTTTGGATTGTTTTTGAATCATTATTTGGAGGCGTAACGTCCCCTCCGGTGTGGCAGAACATCGGTAGTGCTCCCACCATAACAAAGTCAACCAAAGTCACGTGGCGTGGATAACCTCGGAATAGAGACCTTAATCTCCTACTCTTATCTGCACTTGGTGTTTTTATCTATTCATTGGTAATACTACAATTCGCTACCGACAAACAACAGCTACACATCGGACAGCCTCAAATCTACTGAAGACTTCATGCATCTATATAAGAACCTGACAAGCTGTAGATAGACATAGTTAGAGTGTATCCTGAGCAAAGTATTACAGTATCAAAGCTTGTTGCGTTTTAGTAGCGACCAGTTGATGTATCAAACTAGCAGGATTGACAATCGAGGGCCCTGACTCAGCTGCTTTAATTGTATGGAAAACTCGAAAGTAGATTAGCTGTATTATGAAAGTGCTGACGGCAGATTCTCGTACTGTAGCATGGTTGGGCCGCGTCTAGCGATCGGTCCCCTCGCACGTGGAGCTTGTGGCTGGACCCATCAACTGCATGTCGACCGCCAACTTGCAGCCTGATGCGTTGCGTGCTGATACACGAGACTCGAGCAGGTCGAGAGACCTATCCTGCTGTTCGACGCTTCCTAGCTCTCCCCGATCCTACGCTCGCATTGCGATAAAACCGGACCTACGTTCTGTGCGCGTGTCCCCGGAGAATATGCGGACACTATGATGCGTCTTCTGAAGCACTTGCCAGGCGGCGGCTTCGGGCTAGTGTCTTTCAGCGACGACGACCCCCCTCCGTACGTCATTTTTTCGCACACCTGGATCGAGGGTCAGGAAGTCACGTACAATGAGCTGGTGGCCGGTACAGGCAAGGAGAAGACTGGCTACGACAAGATTCGCTTCTGCGGCGAACGAGCTGCAGAGGACGGCTTCGGGTACTTTTGGGTCGATACTTGCTGTATCAACAAGTCTACCAGCGATGAGCTCAGTACAGCGATCAACTCCATGTTCCGCTGGTACCAGCGTGCATCCAAGTGCTATGTATACTTGTCGGATGTGTTCGTGCTGGACAAGGTCGCTGACGCTGAGGCTTCCTGGATACCGTGGAACGGAGCCTTTCGACGGAGCCGATGGTTCACGCGAGGCTGGACACTGCAAGAGCTGCTAGCGCCGCCGTGCGTCGAGTTCTTCTCCAAGGAGGGCAAGCAGCTGGGTAGTAGGATATCGTTGGAGCAGGAAATCCACGAAATCACCAAAATTCCTATCGGAGTTCTTAGAGGACAAAATCTCGCTGAGTTCAGTGTTGAGGAGCGAATGAGCTGGGCAGCACAACGTACGACGACGTTGAAGGAGGACAAAGTATACTGTTTGCTGGGGATCTTTGGCGTATTCTTATCGCTTATATATGGAGAAGGGGAAGCATATGCCACGTTACGGCTGAGAGAGGAGATACACAGGCGGCAGGAAGGGCAGAAAACAGAAAGGCTGCATGACTTGTCCGGTGCGTCCTAGTGAAAAGTAGCATGCTCTACACGGGCGATATGCAGCTAACGAAGTATAGTGTCATCGGGGTTGCCTTTCCCAAGAAACGAACTATTCGTTGGACGCAAAGACCAGCTTCGGACTCTCGAACAATCCCTCCTTTCCCCCAAGACCCACCAACGCATGACGATATATGGACTGGGGGGCTCTGGGAAGTCAGCCCTTGCCCTTGAGTTTGCCTATCGTGCACTCGCGAGAGATGCTAAACGTCTGGTATTCTGGGTGCCGGCTATTAGCTATGAGAGCTTTGAGTTTGCCTATCGGGAGATTGGAATCCGCCTCTGCATACCAGGAATCATGGACGACAACGCAGACATCAAGAAGCTTGTCAAGGACACGTTAAGCTTAGGAAGCTTAGGCGACTGGCTGATGATTGTCGATAATGCTGACGAACCCGGAGTTTTGTTAGGTACCCTAGATAACAACCTGATGTCCGCTCGACTAAGCGACTGTCTCCCGCACAGCGTTAGAGGCACCATCCTCTTCACCACTCGGAGCAGGAAGGCGGCCGAAGATTTGACACCAAGCAGTGTCTTGGAGCTGGATGATATGAGCAAAGCTGAAGCTAGGCAGCTGTTAGCGCGACGTTTGACAAAGCAAGCGCTGGTAAATGACGAGATGGCTGTTGACGAGCTGCTGGACACACTCACGTATCTACCACTTGCTATAGTGCAGGCAACCGCGTTCATCAACAACAACGACATGTCGGTATCCGACTACATATCATTGTTACAGCATGCTGGTACAGAATCTGAGCTCTTCAGCGAGCGCTTCAAAGACCCCAGCAGATACGAAGAGATGGACAGCACGATCGCAAAGACGTGGCATATCTCTTTTGATCAGATACGCAAGCAAGACCCGCTTGCTGCAGAATATCTTTCGTTCATGGCTTGCATCGATCGCATTGACATTCCCCAGTCGCTTTTACCTACTGGAGGCTCGTTGGTGCAGCAAGTGAAAGCGCTTGGGACACTGACAGGGTATGCGTTCATCACAGAGCGCCAACAGACGGTGCAAGAGTCCGGCGGAGAAAGGTTTTTTGATATGCACCGTTTGGTTCACATGGCGTCTGTTTGGTGGTTGGAAGGACATGGTGAGCGAGCAACCTGGGCGGGCACAGCAGTGGCCCGACTCAACGAGCTAGTGCCTTACGGCGGGCATGAGAGGAAGGAAATATGGACGATGTACCTCCCGCACGCCATCTATGTGGCTGGGCTTACCGGCACAGTGGACGAGACAGTAAGGGCTTCGCTTTTGGATCGAGTGGGACGATGTCAAGCAAGCCTCGGGCAATATTCAACAGCAGAAAGCACACACCGGCAAGGATTGTGTTTGGTCGAGAAGGTGCTTGGGCCTGAGCATCCAGACATGCTAACGAGCATGAGCAACTTGGCGCTTGTACTGGACAGCCAGGGCAAGTACGCGGAGGCGGAAGC